CTCACACAGACTCATGTTCATGTTTGTGCTGATGTTCGACATAATGTTTTTTATGCTATTAGTGCTTAGTGTATATTTAGTTGATGCTTTTCATAGTTAATATCTTGGATATTATCAATGTTTTTCTTTTACATTTTATTGTTGGATGTAACTGGGACCCTGTGTACATAATTTCGCTCCACCACATGTACCACATGAGGTGCGAATGACAATAAAGAAACTCTCACTCTGATGTGTGTGTGTGTGTGTGTGTGTGTATATATATATACTTTAGGCTTTAATTTTATCTAGGCTTATTTTTTTTAATATGTTGTTCCTCGATATACAGCGCTGTAAAAAAGTTTTAAACCATCATTTATCTCTTTACACTTTAATTCCAAAGATCCAGCATTTCTTGTATGGTTTTAAATGATCTTGACCAATGGTTCACCAAGTCCAGTTCCATGTATGCTGACAACTAAAGTATCTAAACCTTTAGAATATTGCAACAAGTGTACAGTTTTATTAGAAAAAAATATTACCAGTACATACTTGCAGGCTGAACTTTAAGCGCGTTGTTGATAGTAAAAAAACTAAACACTTAACCAGACTTGTCCATTAAAGGCACAAAAAGGTGTGGAAAAGAATCAGATTTCTTACTGAGAACTTTCACAAGTATATTTTTTTAAATCGCCAATCCCCGCTTAATTCCCACTGGTGTACCTGTGTAGCAGATGAGTAGCGAGCTGTGGATCGAGACGTGGATGCCTTGGCTGAGCTGTGGGAACTCTCAGATGGGAGTGCACCGCAACACTGGGACTGATGGAAACATTTGCTGTACTCTTTCCGGACCTGCAGAGAAGCAAAAGATTAGGCCAAACTGAACGCACTCAGACACAAACTGTGACACATCCTCCCGCCCACTCCGCCTCATGAGAGCTGCAAATCCTAAATCTTTATCAAATGCCAGCTAGCTCACAGCAGCTTAAATGCCATACCTGCAAGAACTGGGAGAAACCGACAACAAGCCACATATTGGCAAATTACAACACACTCTGACTTACATGTTGCTAATAAAAATAAAAAGCTACAATTTTAATCGTGTTTTAACAACTCAGACTTGGAGAGGAAAAAGTCATTTTTGGTAGTGCTGTTTAAATTTAGCAAAAAAAAAAAAAAGCAGTTAAATCTAAACGAATGAATGAACAAACAAACGAATGAATGAAAAAGTGAGCTCTACTTCACAATCACGTCCTATCACGTAATTTAACAACTTGTAAAGAAAAAGAAACAAACTCCAAATTTGAGAGATAAGTAACTGACAACAATTTGTGTCAAAAAATTGCTTATAAAAATGTATTCATAATAAAAAAGATGAACACATTACTTATGTATACCTATTTTAGCATATTAGCTTTAAAACCATTTGGAATTGATTAAATTATTTTAATACTACCCTATAATGAAAAAAGGCCTTGCTTTGTCAACTGAGCAACCTCTCGCACAGTGAGTGATGGACATGGGCACCAACGACCCCCCCACACACCCCAACGACCCGAAAAGGAAGAAGCAGGTAAATGGATGGATGGATGGAATTCAAAGGAACATATGGCAAACTATAGTCGGACAAAAATATATATATATTTTCAGCTAAATGAAATGGTGCAGTTTGAAAGCATTTCCTTCAATAGTTTTTCTGATACACTATTATGAAACTCTGGAATGTGGGTACAGACTCAATGTAAATGCAGCAGTCAGCATAATCCATAGGTAAGCTTGAGTCACATGACTGACCTTCATTAGGTCGGCCATAGTCTGTGTAGGTAAACAAATATGGTGGGATTGGACAAAAAGATGGTTAGCTGTAAATATAGGACTGAATCTGTGGCTACACACAAAAAAGAGAAAGGTGAAGTAGTAACACTGAAGAAATTTGCAAAAGTGTTGAATTCACTGATCACAAACAGCTTATCCATGGCTGTCGCCATTGTTGACCTACTTTCTGTCACTTCAGCTGTTTCCCTAGGTGAACAAACGCAAGTGGTACTGTAGCTGGCAGCGGGTCAGAAAATCTGGACACATATTTTCAATTTGCAAAAACATTAACTAACTAATTTTAAAAAATAAGTGTGATTTTTTTTTTAAACATCGTTGCAATAATTACCTTTAAGGGCAATTTTAAGGCGAAGTAAAGCAAAAAATATTTGACAGTCATGACAGTTTCCTGTTTAAATGAATTTGAGCATCATAACATTCTCCGTAAGTAAAATCTTACTTTTTTCTGAAGTAGGCAGTGGAAGATGAAGATGAACATCCCTTGTAAAGTGTTGAATATGGTAAATAGGTAAGCCATCACAATGGACGATTCGTTGAGGAAGAACAAGCCAAAAGACCACGTGAGTCCCGAAAGACAAAGCAAGGCAAACGCTCCCAACACCCACGACCTGCAAGAAGGAGGAAGAGTCAGATTATCAGGGAAAATATGTGCACAAATCTGATAATCTTGAAACTAATATTCTACCCTCTTTCCTTCATTGTTTTAGATTTCCCACATTTAACACAGAAACAAAATGCATTACTTATATGATTTAAATCCCAATTAAATACCAGTTAATGAGTTTTGACTGCTTGTTATAATGTACTAAATCCAGCATTCACAAATGTGTCACTTCTGTGATATAAACACAAGCCTAAAAGTCAATTAAACAATTTATTTTTCTATTTTTGATTTGGACTAAAATCAGAGTAGCTGCCTAAAAAAATCAAACACCCACATAAGTGTTTGCTGGCACGCTGTCAAACATATTGTTGAACAAGGCTCCGAGCTCAAAAACGGTCAGGGATTTGTCGTGTTATCAACTAAATGCAGCCCACTAGGAGGGAGAAGACGGAGCACCCCATTTTCTTTTTTCCTGCTTGAACCACCTTAAACTCTACAAGACACGTGGCTGGGATCAATCTTCCAATGACGCCTATAAACCATGCAAGCACAGGAGCAAAGGAAGTAAAATAGTGAACATGGCAAAATGGCAGAAATGCTGTTAAGAAGAAATAAAACAGGCAATGTACCCGTTGATACTGAAATCATAAAGCATACTGAAAAGACACCGTGTCAAATCTGAAAGATGAAAAACTGTTGGTCTGCCGGTCAAATGCAGCTTTTTGAATATTACAGCAGGAAGGTTGCAGCAGTGATGGTGCATATTATTTTTCTCCTCACATATACTCCCCCTCCCCCACCCCCTCTCTTTATACACACTCAGAGCCTGACAACGAGCTACAACAGCCCGGCCTCCTCAAGAGTGACACCCTGCCCTCACCTGATACCCCCCAGCCTGCTTGAGTCGGGTTTCATGGAGGTGGAATGCTTCACCATCTTGTACATCGTCACCACCAGGAAGATGACATTGACCTGTCAAAACAGATGTGCATCAGGGTTAATAGACTGCACTAAGGAAAGCATCCAGTTTCTTGTGTAAGCAGTTCAGGGTTAGATATTTCAGGTAGGAAGATGTTACTTTCGTCCACTCATGAGCAAGCACAAATGACACACTTGAGACTCTATACAAGTAAAAACCTTGTGCTTGGATTTTGACGAGGAGAAATATTCAAGAAAATGAATTTTAATGATTAAAATGCACGGAATTGCACTTGTTGCTACTATAATATGCATCATTTAATGCAAAAATGTTACCTTTGACGAGGAGCTAAGCATATTTCACAGTATATTGCAGATTGTTGTGGCGTTACCTCTACACTGAGCAACACACTCATACCTTCAGTGGGAGGACTATGAAAATTTAATACCTCTGTGCTGATCAAGAAGCACTCTTACTTCCAAAGACAAAAATCAACAGTGAGAGGTTATCACTTTGGTCTTCTCCGCACAGCTCAAGGCACATGGGGTGCAATTGCACAAGACGAGAACGTGCATGCCATAAAGCCCGAACAAATCGAAGACGTCACGGCTAAAAGCTTCACGAAACATTCAGAGAAAGGAAAGTATAGAGACGAATGCCACATTTTAGAGACAGGTTTAACTGAGGCCAGCGAAGAAAAAAAAAAGTGATTCAGGCTATACATCCAGAAAGGTTTCCATGCTCTCAGGATGTTTCTCTGTGAGCACTACAGGGCCCCAAACCCACAAAGGAAGGGAGGGGATGAGTTTCTATTTGGTCCGATACCATATTTAACCTTTCAAATGTACTGCAGTAAATATTCAGTGAAAAGCAACGAGAGATATGTGGTTTTTAGCTTTTACCAAAAAAAGACAACTTCTGTTCCATTTTTGCACAAATCATGCATTTTTTTAAAACATAAATCTACTGTAAATGTAGAAAAATGAAGGAAAAATAAGCAGGACTTTGTAAGAAGAGTATAAACACAGTCTGCTTTCCAATTTTTTTAAATCTCTTTACAGACAGGGAGATCCTGATTATCATACCACATGTGGACGCGCTCTGAAATGCTCCAAGGCCGAAGAAGATGGTCTTTACATGGAAACAAAAGAGTAGATGTATGCCAGCAACAGCAAGAGAGGAAGATGGGAGGAAAAGGGGGTGGCTATGAAGATAGAAAGGGGCTTTTAGATCACTGAGACTGGTCTCCCATCCACTGGGGTCAATTTATGTCTGCGTGAGTCGAATGGCTGGAGATGCATTTAACACAGCCATGAGTGATGACACAGATCCGATGAGACAGATGGACAGACGGACAGACAGAGGCGAGGAGCTATGAGACATGCTGCAAAAAGCTGATGGAGACTGCCCCCCCCCCCCACACACACACACACACCCTCTTTCCTCCACAAGCTCAGTCTCTAAGGAGCCATTTGCTACAGTTTTCAGGTCTCTTACTTCTCTGCCAAATAAAGCATATAAAACTAGTGCTGCTGATGCAGCTCCCCCCATGGTTTTGCATGTTTTTACAGCTATTGGACTCATTTACATGCATGTTACTTTTTGGATACGCATTGTGTATTTGTTCTAGTGCGTGCAAGTTGTGTGTATGTCTATGCGCTGCAAACTCCATGTACTCTGCATGAAATATTAAAATGTGAAGATGGAGATGTCTGCGTGCTCTGATTGGCTGGGGATGTGCCATGATCCTCAGCAGGGCTATGCACTGTGGTAATGGTTGTTTGGCCCACCCACTCATTACTTCCATGTTCACCCCCGTACACCCATCCACCCACCCACCAACATCCCCCTTGTTTTCCCACTGAGAAAATGACCTTCATGCATGAAACGATTTCTCCTCTTGATTGCGGGGAGTATTCTCTAGTTGTGCCGAGGGGTCCAAAAAGCTTTGCGTTGTTACTGTTCAACAATTCTGATTTCATAGGATTTCATAGCTGAGTGGACACTGATGTCCTCGTGTCAGCTATAATGGGACCACTTTCCTTTCATGCAAATTGATCGGAGAAAGCAGAGCTAAGAGGCTGCCAGCACATGCAGAAAGAAAATCTATAAACTGTTTTCAAAGCTTCGCTCTGAAATAAAGAGGAAAAAAAATATATATCCCTAGCACGCGCAAATTTATAACTTACCACAATTATCAAGGTCACAGGTCCAATGAAGCTCCAGATGAAATGGTTATCCACTCTCAACCAGCAGCTGCAGAATGAAAAAGCCATGTTTAGCTCGTTAAATCATTTCATTGCCAAAACATACTTGTGTCTCATCGATCAGTGCACAGAAGAGCCAGCTACATGATAGGCCAACAGAAAGGCAACTCTTCAACAGAAAGGCAACTCTTCTGACCGCAGAGAAGAGAACTGAACCTTAAGGGGGTGTTGGCTTGGTGCCATAAGAAGCTGCAGAGTAAAAGGCTCTGGTTATTGAACTCATGACTTCACAGTCTACAAATGTGTGTCTGTGTGTACCTAAGACTCTAAAAGGTGCATGGGATACAGGTTGGACAGAATTTATTAGAATGCATACGATAAAATACAGAAAAGTGCTTTTTACTTAATTCCTATGAATTAGATGACTAACGTCTTTAAATTACAAAGCTTAATGCTTGGATTAAACCAGCACATAAGTGCATAAACCTTTCACTGATGAGGGCAGTAATTATCCACTTGCAAGGATTTAAATAATATAAAAACACCTGCAGACCAGTACAGCTAGCCAGCACATTCATTAATGCCGCTGCTTTGCTCACAGCCTCCTCTTTTAGCAGTGACGGGCTGTAAATTTGTCAACGAGAGCAGAGGTGGACCACTCTTTGTGATATTACTATCAGTAGCACAAACCACACTATGCATGCTGTGTGGGTGTGTCTTAATACGGGGGAGATTCATGATTTTGATGCTATTTTTGCAAAAAGCAGAAGAGCCGCTACAAAGGTGGTGCACTTACGCCCGCTGTGTGCCGTAGCTCATGTAGTCGATGGCTGCTGAGACGCCCACGACCACGGTGGGGACGAGGTAGCCGGCGAGGTAGTAGTACTTCTTGCGTGAGAACTCGCTCTCGAAGACCTCGACCAGCATGAGGTAGAGCTGCACGCCCTCCAAACACATCCAGGTGAAGGCAGCCAGAAAGCAAAAGTGGAGGATTCCAGCGATGATGGAGCACACCAGCTGAAGGGGCGACACACAACACAAGGATAAGATTATGCTAAATGCTAGACGAGAGGCGATGTTTTTATATGGGTCTGTGCCCATCTGGCTCTAGCACTGGTAAAATATCTTATGAACCTGTGGATTAATTTTAATGAAACTCTCAGAAATTAATCACCGGGCGTGCATGTACAACTGATTGACTTTTGGAGACAACCATATGCAAGACAGCTGCCACAGCTAAGTGATCTTAGCCAACACAAAAATGGCCACAAACGACAGCATATGTATTCTGTTAAAGAATGCTAGGTTTTTATTTTTCTTTCCTAGTTACCGGGGAGTGTGGTAAAGAGGTGAAAAAGAGAGTCCAGGCAGGATGGAGTGGATGGGGAAAAGTTTCAGGAGTGATTTGTGACAAAAGAGTATCAGCAAAGGTCAAAGGAAAAGTTTACAAGACAGTGGTGAGACCAGAAGAAGTGGCAGAAATGAAGATGTTGAGGTTCTCCTTAGGAGTGACAAAAATGGATAAGATTAGGAATGAGATCATCAGAGGTACAGCACAGTTTGAACAACTGGGAGATAAAGTTAGAGAGACCAGACTGAGATGGTTTGGACATGTCCAGAGGAGGGACAGTGGGTATACTGATAGAAGGATGTTAGAATTGCAGCTGCCAGGAAAAAGACAAAGAGGAGATATATGGATGCAGTTAGAGAGGATATGGAGGTAGTTGGAGTGAGGACAGAGTGAGATCGAGGAGGATGACTCGCTGTGGAGACCCCTGAAGAGGAAACAGCTGAAAGATGTTACAAAGAGAATACATAACGCCCACACTGCCAAATAAAAAGGTCTCATGGGTGAAGTATAGCACTTAGTATCTAATCATTCATTTATTTTCTGCAGATTGAAACCAAAAAATAAATTGTATATATATTACAATTACCTTTACCAAATAGGCATAAAAACAGCAAATCAATACCAGTGTTGCTTTGTGACCTCTTTTCTAAAATTACCTTTACGAGATGGACAGGATTCAATTTCAAGTCATTGCTGCGCCCTAAAATATCAGCAGGTTGTTTTTTTATGTTTTTCTAATGCATATTTGAAACCAACAGGATTCATGTTAAAACAGTGAGGTCTAAAAGGTAATTACCATATTTAAATAATGAATGAGCTAAATAATTTAGCAACATAATATTTCTACATCAAAAGTTAATGCAATATTTATGAAAATGAACAGTTGGAAAGACCAAACAATACAAATATTCGTGAAAATCGAGAGGATGTCAAGTATTTTCCTGCGCTGAAAAGGTTCAGAGCTTATAGATCCCAAAATGTCCACAGATGCTTTCACAAGAAAACCATGACACCATAATAAATATAATAATTCTAGTATTAAATGTCAATTACAGGCTTATTCTTTTTAATTTTTTATTTAATTGGATTTTTCCCCCCTTTTTTTCCTTACAAATTTAAGTTGTAAATTCAATGTAAAGCTTAATCACTTCAGATGAGACTTAAAATAAGGAGCCTCTCTCCGTACCTTCGGTTCTGTCATGTTGATGCCCACAAGAAAGAGAAGCTCTCCGATGAAGAGGTTGAGACAGAGGTTTTTGTGGATGGTGTTGCGGTCACTTTGCAGACCTCTGAAGAAGCAGAAGGTGAAGAGGCTGATGGCCAGGCAGACCAGAGACACGGCGATGCCCATCCTGGTGATGACGGTAAGAAGGAGCTCATGCACGCTCCCCTCCCTCTGCAGAAACACACACACAGCATTGACAAAACTACACCTGTCTTAATCCCAATAGCATTTAAGCGTGTAACGGCTTGACATTAGTTTCTTGGAATTCAATCTTTAGTGCAACGTAAATACTGATGTATGAGACAACAATGAACATTCATGAACAGTTCATGTAAAAAAGAAACTCACATTTTATCATTGCCTGTGTTGAGAGACAAAAATGATCCATATTAGATCACTAAAAAGCTATTACTCCCCAACGTTTCTATCTGAAGTTAAGCAATAAAATCCTTTTGTTTGGTTTTATTCAGCTAGACCAAAGAGAATATAACATAAAAAAGGATGTTAGAATAAAAGTAACTAGAGTCAGATGTTTTCAGTGTTCACATTGACAGAATAATCTGAGACTGGCCTGACTAGCTAGCCCTAATTGAACTTGATGCCATTTGGCAGCCAAGCTGAACATGTTCAGTCATCAATTTTATGCAGCACATGTTGCAGAAAACGACATCAGAAGAAGAACGGCCTCAAAGAGCTGCAACTGTGTGTGGCTGAATCACGCAGCGTTTCAGAAGATCTAAAAACTGAACGTGTTTCATGGTGGGGCACGGGGGCAAATCTGGAGGAGAACGAAAAGCAGACTTGACCGTACGAAATATTACTCAAAAGACTTGGTGGCCTGAAAGTGAGGCAATTCCTCCTGTGATATTTGTAATTATATTGAGGTCAGGAGTTACTGTTGAGGTGATATGTAGGGGGATTGGTGTGAGGCGCAGCCCAGCATCTGGGCTCTGGTTTCAAGCTGTGGTTAAGGTTGAGGTTGAGACAGATGAGAGGCGCAGAGTTCAGGAGTTGGAACGTACTATTAAACAAACCACATACTTATCCTTTACATTTATTACTAGCTAGGTCCTTGCTACACATGCTATTTATCATGTAATTGGATTGTAATTGCATTTTAGCAACAAAATGGATCCTGCACCACTTCAAGAGGGGTGGAAACATGAATTTAATCCAAGGTTATGCCGTTTCCCATGATTTTCAGGTGTGCATGCAGGGAGGAAGAATATTAGACATGAGCCATAGGTAAAACATAATTACTTCTGATAACGCCATGCCACTTCCTATCCTGAGTCACAGTGTCGCTCTTTAAAAATGACAGCCCGGCTTCTTTCCCCCCCCACACTGTTCTCTTTTCTTACCTTCTCCTCCAGCTATAATCTAATTATCTCCTCTGAAAAGCCAATTTTGCTCTTGCCATGTGTGCACAAATCATTTGGTGAGACAGGAGAAAGAACAGCTAATTGAGAAAGAAAAATGGCCAATGCAAACCACAGAAGGTGAGGGCCACTTACCACATTTCCCCGATGAGCCATGAGGATGGCGAAGTTGGTCAAGTGACTGCATGAGCAAGTGGTGTGGCTCTTATTAGTGTCTAACAGTTTGCAGCCCTGAGTGGACCAGTAGCCCATCATGCTTCGCTCGGAGTAATTCCAGAAGGAGCAGTTGGGGTTGTAATAGTGCTCCTTCTACAAAACAAAAAGAACAAATATATGAATGGCATGGCATTTGAATGCATGAATGCACAGATGCAAACCTTTATATTTGAAAGATGCAGGATTAGGGGTAAGTGTCGTTATCGCTCACAGCCAAAATGAAAAGGTTGGTAATAAAGTTTTTAAGTGTCTGTTACCAGAATATCTCATGAAGCACCAACGGAATTATATAAACTTGCAGAAATTCATTAGATATACGTACATCTACATGTGATTACCTTTTGCCAGTAAAAAAACGACCTCTAATGCCAACTGAAAACCATTCACAACACATACGTCAAGTGCTTCCCATTGCACAAGATCTTTGATTAATCTTTGGCATTAAGTGTTGACGCCAACACTGTTTGTTTGTTCGTAAAATATCTGATGAATAATTGATGGATTTTATCTAACAAGGTTAAGTCAGGTCATCCGGACAAATTCTTCTTTGTTGAATGTTTCGTTTTTTGTCAAAAGAAATGTATTTTAATGAAACTTTAAGGAAATAAGCATTTTGCAAATGATTAACTTTTGGAGGCAACCCATGTCAAAATGGCTGCCACAGCCAAATGATTTTAAGAAACACCAAACTGGCTGATGATAATGATTTTATCCTCAAATGGTGTCTCTATTGAGTTTGTTGAGTCCTATAAATGTGTGGGTATCTTGGTCGACTCGTATCTCTTTTAAGCTCAACGTGGAAAACCTACTAAAGAAACTGAAAGTTAAACTGGGTTTGTTTTTCAGAAACAGATCCTGTCTAACTCTGAATGTTAGGAAACACCTTGTAACTGTGACTTTCCTTCCCTCAATTGATTAAGGTGACATTATTTACATGAACGCTCCTACAAGAACCCTGCAGATGTTGGATGCTGTCTATCATGGTGCTCTAAGATTCATAACTGGCTGTGACTACTGTACCCACCACTGCACCCTGTATTCACTGGTTAACTGGACATCATTAACTTCATGCAGACTCTCTCACTGGTACATTTTCATTTTTAAATCACTTCTTGGTCTGCTGCCTTCATACATCTCCTCCTACATGTCTCTGTGTGAGTGCAGCTACAGCGTGCATGCAGTGTTCCCTCAGTGAGGACTGAACTTGGCAAAAGGGCCTTCTTCTACTCTGCTCCTGTTTCCTGGAATATCTTGCAAAAAGATCTGAAGCTCTCAACCTTGACCTCTCTAAATGGCTTCAAACATCTGTTGAGTTCCTGAGAAAAAACAATGCAGACATGTTCCTGTTTTTAGTTTTCTACACATATTGACAATCTAGCTGTTTTTCCGCTACATTTCCTTTTAATTATCCTTTTAATTACCATTTTATTTTCATTTGTTAAAAAAAAAAGTATGCATCCTTTATGTTTGTCTATTGTTGTCGATGTTGGCTCTTGTAAATGAGTCCCCGAGGCTCAACAGGAACTAACCTGTATAAATAAAGGCTGGATGAATGAATGAATGGCTATAACTCAGTCGACTTAATCTATTGTGCTACAATGTGATGTAGAAATAGAGGAGTCATTCAAAGCACACACTCTATGATGTGAATTTGTTTCACAATGCATGAGATCATGTATAACACTATTTTCAAGGTTTGACTCAAAGGGTATCTTATCTCATTCCTCTATATAAGATGACTTTAGTGTAAAACTTGTGTATGGAAGGTGGTGGGTACAATGCATTTCTTCATGGAATACTAGGCCTTCAATTTATTCAGTCCGTTATTGTTTGCCTGTTATTTCTGAGAAAACAATAAGTCAAAGATTTATACTTTCATCTAAAAGAGAGTGACACCACTTTGGTATTTGTCACAGTTTAGCTCTGTAGCGTGGTCGGGTCAAATCGCAGAAGGAGGCTTACATCCAGGTGCTCCAGTGTGAAGATCACTGGGTCGGCCACAAACACACGGCTGGACTCCTTTGTGATGGAAGCTGACAGGATGTGGGAGTTAACAGTGAGGGAGAGGTTGTGCTTGTTCAGGTCTCCCATTCCTCTTAGTGTGGCATTTTCGGTGCTGAGGAACTGACCCAAGTGTTTGTAGAGCACAAACACCAGCTTTGCCACACCTGCAACCAAAAACACACCAAAAAATATGATCTGACAGGGAAGAGATTTACAATAATCCAACTGAATTAAGACTGAAATACTGTACACATACAGATATGTATATCCCAAGCATTAATGGGCTCACTCACAGCGGCTCTTTGAATTTGCACAAAGAAAGAACTAAAGAGCATGTCAGTGCCGATGGTTTGCTCATTCAGTGCTCAGAGACAGACGAAATGCAGAGCTTTGTTGTTCAGCACAGCAAGTTCCATTCACTCTCAATAAATAATTGCAAATTCCTTTTTTATCTTCCACATTGCTTCATTTTGTGGCGTGGAATCAGCTACATCACACTCCAGGGGAGGCAGTTTACCATGAGCAATGCCTACAGTGGATGGTCTAATTAAATTATTCTTTTCCACTGAATTAAGTAAAAAGAAAACACGCAAGAATTTGGTCGATAATCACCAAAATATTATAAGGATTTGAATTTGCGACGAACAAAGCCGTGAACGAGGCTTGGAAAAGAAACTAATGATTTGAAGGCGTGATTATCAACTCGAAGAATACGTTTTTTAATCTTTTTGCTAATGCAGACCTTAAATGTGTCGTGTAGCTGCAACAAAAATAATGAGTGCAAGCCGTTTTCAAAAGGTCTCAATATTTCTTTAAAAAGTCTGAATCGGGGAAAAAAAACTACTATTTAGAAACAGTTGAACCATAGCAACACATACAATTACAAAACAATTCTGCAGCTTTGGAGTTTGCTTACCATTTTTGCTGTTAACTTTCACTGTGTTGGAGGAAAGCTGAAGAGTCGCTCCGCCTTTGCTCGACTGGGGAAACCTGAAGTCTTGCACCTGACCGTCAGTGCTCAGCACGTACACGTCCAGCACTGAGACGCCGCAGGAAGCGAGGGAAGAGGTAAAAATAGAGATGTATAACTTCACAGGCAACATTTTAAAAGCTTTTTACTCTATTGAATACAGTTCCACCGATAAGGCCCAGTGGAGTGTCTGTAAAGACTCGGCGTTCACTGTAACAGTAACAAAGTTGAGCCTTATAGGCAAAATCCCGTAGGGTGTCATTTACTCCAAGAAAACCATGTCACTAAGCTGTTTCCTGGCATTGTGAAAGCCTCCTAGGCAAGAGCAAAAGAAAAATAATGACAAGGGCTGCAGAGGAGGATGAGTAAAAGCAAGCACACAGCCGGATGCTGCGTGAATGTCAAATATTCATAGGATCAAACATATCATTGAGCTTCTACTTTTACTTTTTCTTTTTCCCCCCTCGTGGGCTCTGATAGCTCCAGGTTGGATGAGCAAATCTGTGAAAATCCTCCAAATTCCTGCAGCCCCTCTCCCTCTTGCGTGCCAGCTGCCGGGTGGTGCTCCCTTTGATGTGTGAAATTACTAAAGGGTCAGGAGGACGCACGTTTCCGCACACTCCTTCCCATCAAACGCTGCATAACTTCGACAGATAGACGGCTTGTGACAGACAGAGATGAGGAATTGTACTCTGGTTGCTCCCTTCACTCTCTGCCTTTAGCTTCCAGCCCATCATGATCTGCTCGTCACTTCTGAATGGGTCAGGTTCAGGAATTGTTTTCATATATGTCAACGAATCACAGATAAGGATTGTTATTGTGTGTAAACAGTAAAACTGTTGGTATAAAAAGTTAAACGTCTTGGTTACACATGATGTGGATGATCAAACATGAGAGTGGAGCTCCACATTTGAGTACTTGGCCTTTGTGCAATGCTCCTGTCTCTTCTTGGGAGAAACAATTCCTCCACTTTGACTAACGGTGAATGCAACTCCGGACTTTTGAAGCACATGCTGGCGTTCCATTGGATGCAGGAGGTGAAAGTACAGGCACTTTTTTCTTCCCACTTCCAAGTACTGGCTATGCTGCTTCACTGAAATATATCCTCATTGTGCAGATAAGCCAGAACTCAACGGGATCATGAATGCTGTCTGAACGCAGTGATTGAATGGTCAGCATACAGATTATAATGCGACCATATTAATCAGTGCTTTTGGTAAAGACAGAACTAGTCGTTATCAGCTCAGCTAACTGCTGCCTAATGGGGAAATCTCGGAGGGAGCCAATAGAAAGCTGTCTGAATGGAAACAGTGCGATTCAATTGGCTGCTTTGTT